TGCTCACAGCGCCTGCTCACAGACAATTCGTGAGTGCCGCCTCTCAGCTGAGCCTGATTCGGCTGAATTTCTCTGCCGGGATTAACACCAAGGACGTCGTCACCAGGTACGTCGTCGTAATCTTTCGAGTCGAATCTCAAGTCCATCGTGCCCTTGCCCATGCCCATGCCCAAACAAGCCTCATCTCAAGTAATCCAACTTATCGGTCCTAAGTTCTGGGTTCAGACGGTGTCCGTAGACCTGATGCATTGGTGTAGATGTCGCTATCACATCCGCCATCAATTGGTAATTGGCTTTGGCCTACGCCTATGCCTATGCCTATGCCTATGCCCATGCCCATGCCCATGCCCACCAACAGACGTCGATGTGGTCCTTCCATCTGAATCCCAAGTCCTTCATCTTATGCCCATGCCCAACCCATTGATCCTCGTTCTTTGTTCAGAGTGTGGGCGTAGTCTTGATACATCGGCGTAGATGTCGCTGTTGCTTCCGCCGTCAATTCGGAATTGGCTGTGGCCTATGCCTATGCCCACCAAGGGACGTCGTTGTGGTCCTTCGAATCGAATCCTAAGTCCTTTATCTCATGCCTATGCCCAAGCCCGTGCCCAAGCCCAAGCCCATGCCCATGCCCTTGCCCAACCTACTGATCCTGTGTTCTTTGTTCAGAGTGTGGGCGTAGTCTTAATGCTTCGGCGTAGATGTCGCTGTTGTATCCGCCGCCAATTCGGTTTGGGCTGTGGCCTATGGCATGGCCATGCCTATCCCATCCTGTCCCTCCCCAAACCCGAACAGATCCAACCCATTGACTAGGCGAGCCGATGAAAGTGTGCGTGCAGTTTTGATGCATAGATTAAATCTTGTTAGATACATCCGCCGCCAAATCGGAATTGTGACTGTCGCCCATACCCATCCATCCCGTTCCCTAACCAAGCCCAGCCCCGCCCATCAACAGCAATATCCGTGTATCTCCCGGTCCCACCCTCCAACTCGCTGTAGAGAGCCGCAGCGCAAGAGAACGATTCGCGGATATGGTCGTCGAGGGTCGTGCGAGAGCGCGCAACTGCGGATCGGAAGGCAAAGGTCGATGAGCAGGGATTTGCTAATGGTAATACGGACGCGGACGCGAGTATGAGTAAAGGGACAACTAAGAAAGTGAATCCTGGATGCTGAGAGTCAGATGCTCGTGAGTCTATACACTGTCAGAACGGCCAAGCTGAATTCGCGACATCAATAGCAAGTCTATCAACATCAGAACATCCTTACCTGAATGTGTACCGCCCCATCCTTCTCACCCTCCGACTCGTCTCGCTTCCCCTTCACTTGTCCGGTTGAATCTTCCGTCCACACTTGCTGAAAAAGAGCCACTGGTCGTGCAAGACGGCGACGTGACTCTCGACGCTCCACCTCCCTTGGATGGCCAGCCCTCCGTCCTCAATACTCAGCTGAAAGGCCTTCAGACTCCCGTCAATCTCCCGCAGCGCCGTCAACAGTTCCATCAAGCCCGTCATCGTCACCTCTCGAATGGCCTGCGCAGATTGGACATTCGCCCACTGCGGCAGCTCGACCGCATCGCGCTCCGGGTCACTGAAGCTGCGCGCCCAGAAGGGGCGAGCCCGCAAGCGTGTGAGCCACTGCTGCTCCAGGTAGGACTCGACGACACGTAGCCAGCACGATACGTAGATCATCTCGACTTTCGCACGCTGGTCGGCGGCGATCGTCTCATTGACGACGGCAATCAACCGCTCGAGGTAGCGCAGGATCACATTCGTCTGGAACACGTACTCGCGCACCAGCTCTTTCGTATCGGCGGGACGGCGCGGGTCGAGCTCAGCGATATGGGCTTTGGTGTGCAAGATCGTGACGCCGATCTTGCTGAGCAGCGAGACGGTATAGCCGGGGATTTCGGGGAGGAGGCTGGTGCAGCGGCGGAGTGGCGTCGATACGGCGTGGATGGCGCGGACGAGGTCCAGTCGAGGGTCGAAAGGCTGGAGATGGGAGGTTGAGAGAGGTGAGGGTTTGGATTTGGATTTGGATTTGGGTGTGGGTTTGGGTTTGGGTTCGGGTTCGGGTTTGGGATAGGCGTAAGGATAAGGATTAGAAGGAGGAGAGTCGCGTCGGTCGGTCTTCTTTCGTTGCTCTGAAGATGCCCATGTCGAGTCGGAGCGAGATGGATGCCGGGGCCGAGGCTGAGGATAAGGCTGAGGATTCGGGTTGGGATTCGGTTTCGGTTTCGCTGCCGACTTTCTGCAGACGTGCCAGACTTCTTCATCTTCATCTTCATCCTCCGCATTACCACCACGACCACCATCACCCTGCTTCGCTTTATCTTGAGCTCGTTGCGGATCGTGAGCGTAATCACTGTCACCACCAGCACGACTCCCATCCTCGACGGCCAGCCCGTCCTCGTCCCCGTCCCCATTCAGCTCTTCCAGCCCAATCCCCCACGACCGCCAGAAGAACTCGGCTTCTTCCCACGCATCCGCGATCTCGACCATGGCGCGCGTCTCGTCCTGCAATTCCAAGGCGCTCTCCACCACGCTCTCCCAGGTCATCTGCGATCCAAAGGCCTTGGGCAGCTCTTCTGGCCATCCGCCTTGGTCCTGATCCTGGCCATCAAAGCCAGACTTGCCCGTCGCATCCCACGCCCCTCCCATGCCCATCCCCCCTCGGCCTCTCCCTCTCCCTTTGCCGTCGTGAAACTCTCTCTTGAGCCGGGCTTCGTTAATCGTCTTGTCAGCGTTCGTACAGATTCGCGCATTCCGCGTCGGCCACCACGGACACACATTCTCGTGGACCAGAGCCGTAAAATCGCCTTGCTTGAACCGACAGAGCCCACCGACGAGATACATAGTGCTCGTCACGATGCCCATCTCGCTTTGGTCGAGCGCCATCAGCCCACACATGATCACATACCACACCCCGACCAGCACGAGCCCGAAGGAGATCGTCGAGACCGTGGGCCAACAGTGGATGTACCAGCGCATGAAGCCGCGGATGCAGAAGAGGAACAGCCAGATGGCAAAGCCGGCGACGGAGGCCAGCCCGCGAAGACAGTACGGCCCGAGCCGGCCCAGGCTGCCCTTCGCGCCGTTAACGTACGCCCTCGCTCGCGCGAAGTGGTTGACCCTCATAACCACAGGCTGACGTCGGGCTCGGGGTCGGGGCCTGGTGGCGGGAACAACCGGCGGTGGCCGCGCAGATCCTCTTTCTCTTTCGAGAGGTGGCACGTTCATTGCTTTGCGAATCTTCCTCGCGTGCGAAGATCGCGCAGCTTCGGTGGACTGGCGCTGCTCAGCTTCTTGCAGCACCCTCTCGAGACGAGCGATCGTATCCTCGTCGCTCATTCCGGCGGTATTATAGTCGATCGATGATATGTCTGAGGTGGCTGGCGCTGGGCGGGTAGATACTTGATAGGCAGGTAAGTCTTTTTCGACGGGCAAGCAAGTACTTGATAAATAGCTCAATGCTCGGTATACAAGTTGGGTCTTCGACGGCGGGTAGGCAGGCACCGGAGAAGTGGCTATGTACTCGATTTGTAGGCACGTCTATCACAGATAGATCGATATACACATACAAAGAACCAATTCATCAAGTTTCATCATGATCGTCTCTCTTCTGCCTGGATCAATACTATGCTCTACCATCCTCTTCCCTTTTCTTTCATGCTTTCTTGTCGCATCCAAGCAGGCGAGCAGGTACCATCCATCTCCCTGAATCAGTTCAATCCGACACCATCCTTCTTTCTTTCTCTTCTTTCTATTGAATTTGACCAAGCAAGTATTATTACTATCTTCCTTTCTTTCCTTGTCTTCCTTTCGTCTCCCTTCTCTCCTCTGCTTCTCTCTTTCTCTCTCCTTCTCTCTCCTTCTCCTTCATCTCTCCTTCTTTCTTCTCGCTTGTTTATTTATATCTCCATCTCCATCTCTTTCTCTTTCTCTCCATCTCCTTTCCATCTCCTTCTTGCCATCTCCTTCTTGCCATCTCCTTCTCGCCATCTCCTTCTCGCCATCTCCTTCTCGCCATCTCCTTTTCTCTATGTCTATCTTCTATTCATTTCTTTCGTCTTTCTTATTTCTTTTTTCTCTATTTCCTCTATCTCCTCATCTCTTCTATCTCTCATTTTTTCTTTCCGCTTGTTTATTTACATTTCTATCTCCTTCTTTTTTCTTTTTTCTTTTCCTTCTTCTCTCTATCTCCTCCTTCTTTCTATTTCTTTTTTCTCTTTATATCCTACTTCTCCTCTTCTCCTCTCGATCTCCTTCTTCTTTCTATCTCCTTTTTTTTATCTTCATCTCTTCTCCGTCTCCTTTTCTCGCTTTCTTCCCCTTTCTCTACAAGATACAACTGCACAAGTGCTAGAACATAATCATCTAGGCTTTTAGGCTTCACGAACATACATGTTTTCTCCAAATATTCGTCCTTCGTCTTTCTCACCCTTGTTCTTCGCCGGCTCGCGGCGCGCATCTGAATTTCAAAAAGAAAGGCAATCTGACTACAGTCCTCTTCGTCTTTTTTTTCTTCTTTTTTCGGTTCCTCGGCACCTTCTCAAAAGATGTCTGACAACAATTTTCTTCGTCTTTTTCTTTTCGTTTTTCCTCGGTTTTCTTCGGTTTCTGGACACCTCAAAGGAAACCTGACTACATACATACATACATACAGCCTTCGCGTTCGCCTTCGAGCTTATGGTTTCCTTCCATTCCAGATAAGAAAGCAATCTTTTTTTCCGCTAGGCAATGAAACGACGCTTCTTCCCTTGGCCAAAGGACATGCGACCAAGTACTCCTCCGAGTACCTTGCCCGAGGCTCTTGATTTCGTCAAGATGCCCCTCGACTCGCCATCGAACTTCCAGGCTTTCCTGACGGCTACGGAGTTCTTCTCTCAGTACTGCACACGCTAGCGCTACCGCTGCTGCTAGCTGCCAGTTGTTTCTAGAAAGAGGGCTAACGTTATATTTTACACGAATGGACCAGCACTGGCCCTCTTTCACCCGGGCGCTCAATTCTCGAGTGAGTGTGGTGCTCACATAAGGGAACAACGCTTTAGAGGTGGTGTACGATGGGTGTATACGATCTTTGGCGAATGGTTGGAACTTGTTTGCTTGCTTGCTTTCTGTTTGCTTTTGTTTTTCCCCTTTTCGGTCTTGGACCTACATCTGGCTGACATTGGTCCGGACTCGATTTACATCGTTCTACGACTCGCAATTGCTAAGCTTCTAAGCCTGCGATGGCGTGATCTACCTTGTTTCCATGGTTTCCACCTTGAACTGAAGCTTTTCTGTTTCTATAATCCATCTGATCTGCAACGGAAGGGCGCAGCCGGCAGCAGCTGCGCTGCTCCATCTTGAAATGCTCTCTAGGGCTATTTTGTATGCAACGTCGCCGCACCCCATGTGCGGTCCCAGGGCGGCAGGCAAAGCTTGCCACCCGCCAAACGCAAATCAATACGACAATGATAACAGCCCTTTAATGATTACAGCCTTCTTCGTTTTTTGCCTCTCCTTCTTTCGGTTTCACAACACCTCTTCAGAGTTAACTTGACTACATACATACATACAGCATGGGCCTTCAAGCTTGTGGTTTCTCCTATTCCAGATAGGAAAACGATCTTTGCCTTTACTACGCAATCAGAAAAACAGATTTGCCCATTTTCTTTACTTCAGCGTACCTAGCTGACTTCGATCCGGCCTCGATCCATGTCACCACGCGACTCTGGCATCCGCTAGGCTTCTAAGCCCGCGATGGCATACTCTGCTTTGCTTATTTAATTCTCTTTCCTTAACGAAAGCTTTTTCTCATCATGATCCATCCATCTCATCTCTATAAAGGAAGGCGGTCTTCGGACCTACATCTGGCTGACCTTGGTCCGGCCTCGGTCCATATCGCAACGCGACCTTGACATCTGCTAAGCTTCTATGCCCGCGAGAGCATACTATGTCTTGCTCCTCTGGTTTTCTTTTTTTACTTAAAGCTTCTTCTCATCATAATCCATCCATCTTATCTCTATAAAAGAAGGCGGTCTTCGGGCTTACATCTGGCTGACCTCGGTCCGGCCTCGATCCATGTCGCCACGCGACTTCAAAAGCCGCTAGGCTTGTAAACCCGCGATGGCATACTTTGCCCAGCTCTTTTGGTTCTATCTCGACCTAAAGCTTTCTTTTTCTATGATCCATCTTGTCTATAAAAGAAAGGCGCGGTCGATAGCAGCTACGCTGCACTATCTTAAGTTGCTTTCTGAGGCCTCCTTGTATGTAACTCCTTAGCCTATAGAGGTTCCAGGGCGGCACGCGACGCCTGCCATGCGCCCGACGTGCATAAGTAAAACAATAACCATTATGTACTACCATGGCTGACCTCGGTCCGTCCTCAATCCACATTGCCACGCGACTCTGACATCTGCTAGGCTTCTAAGTTCGCGATGGCATACCTTGTTGAACGGTAACACGGGGAACAAATATGAGTAGAATGATTCTTAATTGTTGTCTGATGAACTTGGGGAGTAGCCCTCTACTTATACATCTGGAGAGGTCTTGACACGTGATCGGTCTATCACCTGATCACATCCGACATACCTTGCCTTGCCCCTTCGGTATCTACCTCGACCGAGAGATTTCTCTTTCTGCGGTCCATTTTACTTCAATAAATGAAGGGCGTCCCTTTACGTGGGCTGTAAGTGCGGGCTTTGGCCTTCCACTCCGAACGGAACTCTATTTGGGTCAGCGTGGTGCTCACACGAAGGGAACGACGCTCGCGGTGGTATACGATCTCGACGACTTGTATTTGTATCTGTTCGCGGCGTTGGCGGGTCTCTTTTTCCATGTCGCTCTTTACTGATATTTGGACCTACAACTCGGCTTGGACTTATAACTCGGCTGACCTCGGTCCGGCCTCGATTTCTGTTGTCTTGCAACTTGACTTCGCCGAGCTTCTAAGCTTGCGAAGGCACACTTTGACTTGTTCTCGTGGTTTCTGCCTCGTTTTAAAGTCTTTCTTCTCTTTCAGTGATCCATCTTATCTATAAGAGAAGGGCGCAGTTGATGGTAGCTTCGCTGCTCTCATTTTGAAATACTTTCTAAGTAACCCTTTAGCTTAGCACGTCGCCGTATCTTGTGGGAGATCCCAGTGCGGCAGGCTTCGCTTGCTACCCGCCCGACGTAAATAAATACAACCATAACAACAACAACACTTCAAAGGCAACCTGGCCCCTTCTTCCTTCGGTTTCTTAGCACTCAACAACCTGACTGCATACATACATACATACATACATACATACATACATACATACATACATACATATATACATACATATATATATACATACATACATACCTACATACATACCTACATACATACCTACATACATACATACATACATACATACATACATACAGCATTCGCCTTGGCCTTCAAGCTTAGGGTTTTCTTCCATTCCAAGCAGGAAAGCAATCTTTACGTCCATTACGCAATGAGACGAAAAAGATACCCCCCCTTCTCTTTACCTCGGCGCGAGCCTTCCTCCTCTTCACGCATAAACCACAGAACAGGAAGGTAATATTTTCAAACGAGACATACTCCGTGGAAACAAAGGCCGAGTGAACTTCCCGATATAGGACGGGAATCTCCCTTTTACTTATCAAATATATAACTATATGCTGACCGAATCAGATCTTCTCCTTCGTCTTCACAATACACAAACAAGTTTAGAGACTCGATAAGGTTCAGCTGCGTGCCTTCATCACGCTTTTAACTTGCAACACCGAGATCTTCTTCACAGCAGCAATACACGAATTGATTTTAGAAGGTTTCAGTGTTGATATCACAAGGGTGTGTGATGCAAGTTGAATACGTGCCCAGTTGTGTAGGTGTCTTCAGTGGTTTTTGCATGATTGAAACCGCTTCAGCCAGCGTGTCGTCAGGCAGTCGTAGCATTTGGCAATGTTTATTGAGAATTTGTAGCACAGCACGTCCTCTTCTCCTTTTCCCTTTTCCGTACTTTTTATCTTTATCCGAATAGATCTTGAACAGATCGCTCAGAAGCTTGCTGTTACCTCTTTTAGACTGGACACTTGCTGCCACACAAGGGGAGGAGGGGGCAGTAAGGGTTCCAGGAGGGGGTTCAGTTGGGCCACCGCCACTACCACCACCACCACGAGGGAGGGGGGGGGGGCGTTGGGAGGCGGTCCTGGGGGAGGGCCAAAAGTGCCAGCAGGGCCATTGCCACCATTATTGCCTCCATTATTACCTCCGAGTGGAGCGTAAAGTCCTGCAGCACCACCGGAGGGATTTGGGGGATTCCATCGGCTGATGTAGCCTCCGCCATTGCCGTATTGACCAAGTTAGTGTAACGTGCCGTATATAGTCAAAAGTATTTACTGGATGCCTTGAGCATCTTGCTATCGCTGACCATTAGGATCAAGGGGAGGGGGTGTTTGAGTAACCACATTGTCCTTATCGTTTTTCTCCTTCTCGATCTTCTTCATCGAGGGTTCTTCGTGGATATCTAGTACTAGAGTCCATTTGATAGGATCCAGGTTCATCAAGACGTCTATGAGTACTTTCTGGTGTAGAATGCCATTGGCAGCAGGCTTGATTAGCACCCCATTTAATAGCAGGTGACGCCAAAGTTCTCTGCAACAAGGCCTCGAAGCCAATGCGGAGGTATCCGAAGTCCAGTCCTCGTGGTCTTCTTGGAACAGCTCATTCAGATCGGTACCTGTATAGTGGAAGCGTTTCTAATAGCTTTAAGCATGAGAAAGATATACCCATTGAAAATATCGGTTATATTACCCTTGCCCTTCAGGTCGAACTTTCTCTCCCATGCACCTTCATCTATTCTGCAGCCATTGTATTCTAAGATAGGCGACATTGTAATGCTTGGCTGTACGTCGTTTCCGTCTGATTGATATCTTGTCACCTTTCTTAGAGCTAATTCGGCGGTTCGCGAAGAAAGTCTAAATGTTTCAGGTAGCCTGATGGACGCAGTTGAATGAGCAGCGGTCTTGAATTCGTGTATCGCGAATGGAAGATGGTTTGATTCGTTCTAGCACAAAAGTACTTAGGAAGTAAGGCAAGACTCCTATATTAAGAATGCTCGACCTCTGTGCCCAAGTTGCATGTCTCTTCTGAGCGTTACCTCACTGATCAGTGACTTAAAAACATTAAGCAAATCACCTTCCTAAAGTTTTGCTTGCTTCAAAATACCTTCTTCCTTCGAATATCTTCCACGCTCGCGCATTATCAAGAACAAATAATACCGCGACCTAGCTTCTGTCTGCCAGCTTCCAAGTTCCTTTACTCTCTCCCTTCAACCTCCTTCTCTCGGTACAATGGATATGCTGATATTCTCATCATGTATGTTAAAGTTGCGAGATGAGGGATGGAACGAAGGCGTCGAGATTACGAGTTCAACTTACCTGCGTTTAAAAGCACCCACTTCCTCGTTGCACGTTCATGACGCTTGGTACGAGCAATTCCTCTTATCAATTATATAGCTACATATTCCATGAGCTAGAGAGTAATCAAGAATCCTGCATACGAATCAACATTGAGAGAGATCTATCTTGTGACCCTTATACTTGTTGAGATACACAAAAGGAGCTTCATTCGTTTGACGTCTGTTACCGGAAAATCAATACTGTACTAGGCATTTCCTTGCCGGACTCATCTTCTCTAGGCATCTCTTTACCAGGCTCTGCTCCACCTTCATCGGGCATCCTTCTTCCAAGCTCTGCTCCACTCCTCCCAAGCGTCCCTTCCCCAGGTTTTCCGAAAAGAATTTTTTTCTGTAATAATGCAGTAGCCTAAGGAGAGGAAGAAGGAATAGGCACAGATAAAACAAGCAGAGGTCGGAAATCCCATATACGACAACCAAGGGAACAGAAATAGGACGGATTAAACACATTCATTCATGAATAGATTCTTTGAAACTGCTATCATGATTCCAGACTTTCGCGAATTAATTATGTTCCATATGGGTGCTGGTATTAATCTTAATGTCTATTTTTGTTTAATGTTGATTTTTATGTTGATGTTGGTGTTGGTGTTGGTGTTGGTGTTGGTGTTGATGTTGATGTTGATGTTCGTGTCAATGTCTCAGAACCAGCATCGGTATCGGCATAAGTACCAGTACTAGCATGGGTACCAGCACGGGTAACAGCATTAGTATCAACATCAATGTCAGCATCCGCATCAGTATGAGTATTAGCATCAGTATCAATACCGGTATGATAATCAGCATTGGCATGGGCATCAGTACCAGCATGAGTGTCAGCATCAATCTCAGCATCGGTCTAATCGAAAAGTATATCAACAAGCCCAACGCCCATTCAGTTTCTTCTACCTTCATCTTCTACATTCACCTTTCACTTTCATCTTCATTCATACCACCATAACCACCATCACCACTACCATCAACAACATGTCTTCCCTTCCTCTCCCCCCACCTTCTCCTCCTCCTTCCCAAACAATCTTCGGTCTCAACCTCTCCACCGTGGAGTCCTCCACCCGCGCCCGCTACACCCAAGCCGACAACGCCAAGCTCGGCCTCTTCGTGCGAACCGACGCCGCCTTCCTCGCCTTCCTTGATCTCTACGGCCGCCCAACCATCACCCACCTCCGTGCCGCCAGCTTCGATATCCGCGGCCTGCTCGCCATGTTCGGCTGCACCGTCACCGCCGACACGCGCACTTCGGACGGCCGCTTCGTGCTCCCTATCTTGAAGGAGAAGGTTTACTCGAAGCTAAAGCGCGTCTTGGAGGCGGAAGAGAAGAATGAGAAGGAGGGAGACGGTGGAAAGAAGGAGGAGATTGTTACTAGAGCCGGTACACTCGCAGCGAAGAAGCGAGGTGTGTTGCCTGTGGCTAAGACGAATGGTCGTGATGGTGCCTTGGAGTTTGCGGTCAATGCCGTGAATGCAAAGAATGCCATCAATGCCATCTATGCATTGAATACGCCATCGACGATGGCGGTTGCTCATGGCAATGGTAATGGCGGTGTTTGGTCGGCGACCGAGAACGACAACACCAATACCAACAAGGGCAACTCCAACAGCCACGGCATTGCAAACTCCCAAGGTGACGAGACCGGCCTCTTCGAGCGCGAAGACGCAACTAACATGGGTGTGTAAGTAAATCAAAACATTCTCTTTCCCCGTCCCGTCTGACTTACCTCATTACTTATCCTTAACAACTAAATACCCAGTGCGCAACCCAAGAGCTTCTTCAACCGAGGCAATGACATCGTCCTGCCCACAACTGAGCGCATCTTGGAAACCACCAAGCACTCCGAGTTCCATCTGACGTCCCAAGATCTGAGGGATATGATCCAAGCTCTGCGTGCTGAACAAGACGAGATTGCGAAGATGAAGATGGGAGTTGCCGATCGGTTCATCAGACGGGCGGGAACAGCTGAAGTAGAGGAGTAGAAGAGATTCAAGGGAGAGGGAAGATTCAGAATGGTAAGAAGAGAAGGAAAAAGAAATGAGAAAGTGTGCAGGAGACCGACGCGATATGAAAGATAGGAAGTGAAAATTGATAACGAGGTAGAAGGAATGTTACAAATTGCTTTATACAACCGGGAACTGCACGCCGACTTAGGAGCGAAAACCGTTGACGGGTCTTAGACCATCTTCATTTCATGGTGCGAGGCGTTCTGCGTGGGCTTGTAGCAGTACAGGTAATAGGTGATCTTCGTGTGACAGACTTACGGGCTTATTTAAAAGTCCCCCACCGGAAGGCTCACCGGAGGGCAGGGCGGTGGATATTGATGAAATGTCTAATAAATCGGGTGACCAGGCACGCCCAATACGAATGGGTGCTGGCCTTGATCGACGTGATTATCCAGCTGAAGTCTGAAGTCCTTCACCGGATGGCAGGAGTAATGGATGTTGATGAAATGTCCGACAAGTCGATGACCAGGGACATCCAATGCAACTCGGTGCTAGCTTTGGTTAACGTGATTATCCAGCTGAAGTCTGTAGTCCCTTACCGGATGGCAGGAGTAGTGGATGTTGATGAATTGTCCGACAAGTCGATAACCAAGGACACCTTATCCGAATCGGCATCGGTCTCGGTCGACGTGATCATCCAGCTAGAGTCTTCTTTGATAGCGTGATGGAACACGAGCCTGTATATAGATCTATGTCCGTATTACGCCGTGCTGTAATGCCCGACGACGAATAGCTCGGTGGCCTTCTTCTCTTTATGTGGATTGGCGGTCTTGATCTTATTTTGTCCATGATCGACTAGAAATGTATGAGCGTGTTAGGCTTCGATCCGTCACAATTGATCATGTTGTGTTTTATGCCGCAGTCTTCGGAGACTATAATCCACACGAACACATGCGTCCTCTCGTTACGAGGTGGTGTCTAGAGGTTGGATCAGCACTTGTGGGCCAGCACCTGTTGACAAGCACTTGTTGGCCAGGGTGTAGATCTCCTCGTACCTCGATAAGACGTCCTCTAGCTTCGTCCCAGCACAATATCAGCTCGCTGTCCTTATTTTGGGGCACATCACTCGCTTCCATGGACATGGTCCTCTTGCACTCGCCGCAAACGTGTTGTTCGGCATATAGCATATGTTTCCGATCTCCTGGACGGGGCAGTAGTCAGTGGGAGGTTTGATGTTGGAGGCGGAGTTGGTTAGTACTTGCGAATCAAAAGCACGCTATAATCAAGCAAGAGATGTACGAACACGACCGTGGTTGTATAAACCAACTTGCAAACACGATTTGCACGCGGGCCAAGAAGATGGAGGGCGAAAGACCAGCTACATCGAGATGATGTGTATGCGTGAAGCAGATGCCAAAGTACGGGACCAGCGGCCAGGGAAGAGAACCGTTAAGGTGGTTATAGAGGCAGTCGAGTCGGATCGAATCAAGTGAGTAGATAGGACGTTCATGGTCCAGATCAAAGCTGATTGACCAGATTTCAATCTTTTTTAACGGAAGAAGTTGCTCCACTCTCATGTTCTTGGAAGGCGCGACACAGACGAGCGGAAATTATCTCTTGCAAAGTTCGCTCTTCATTTTAACTCCCACCTGTATATATTTTGTCGTAGCCGTTACCGACATCCCTTCTTGCGAAAGACCTCTCGTGCACACGGCCAACGGAATGAAGGTGTACATACTCTGTCTGCTACACGAGCGGCTACTCAGTGCCGCTGACTGCCGGATCTGCGAATATGCCCAGGGCGACATGATGAAGTGGAAGGCTGGCAAAGACTTGACCGAACGAATCGAGAGCATGAAGCAGACAGCGTGAAAAGAGTAAGAATTTCCCAAGCCATCTGCTCTATATAGTAATTAATACATCCCGAGACATTAGGCAGACCCGGGTTGTAAGGAGATGACGCTTACCAAGTCTTCTTTTCGCCAAAGGCCCCAACTGATGACGGTGATGATGATACGGCCAGTGACATCGAGGAGCACTTGGAACCCGATACCCAGCTGATGGAGGATAGCGAGGAGAAGCTGATTCCTCGGGGGCGCTCGGAACTCGATTCTCAGCTGGGAGAGGACATCAAGAAGATTCTAATTCTTCAGGAGCGATTGGAACCCAACTCCCAGCTAGGAGAGGAGGACATTGAGGAGAAGCTGATTCCTCAGGAGCGATTGGGACTCGACTCCAGCTGGGAGAAGACATCAAAAGCGCTTGGAACTCAAATCTCATCTAGGAGAGGACACTAGAGAGAAGCTCATTCCTCGAGAGCGCTTGGAGCCCGACTCCTAGCTCGGAGTGGATATTAAAGAGAAGCTGATTCCTCGGGGGCACTTGGAACTCGGGTTCCAGCTGAAGGAGGACTCCCAACCGAGGGAAGCCATCAAAGAGATGCTGGTTCTTCAAAAGCGATTGGGACTCGACTCCAGCTAGAAGAGGACATCAAGGAGAAGCTGACATTCCCCAGGAGCGCTTGGAACTCGGATCCCAGCTGAGGGAGGACTCTCAACCGGGGAAGACATCAAAGAGATGCTGATTCTTTAGGAGCGATTGGGACTCGACTCCAGCTAGAAGAGGACATAAAAAAAAGCCGATTCCTCGAGAGCGCTTGGAACCCGACTCCCAGCTAGAGGAAGACACCCAGCTAGAGGAGGACATCAAGGAGAAGTTGATTCCTCGAGAGCCCTTAGAACTCGACTCTTAGCTGAGGGAGGAGGACATCAAGGACAATTGGATTCCTCGAGAGAGCTTGGAACTCGACTCCCAGCTGGGAGAGGACATCAAGGAGAAGCTGATTCTTTAAGAGAATTGGCAGGGAGTGTGACGGGGGGGGGTGATCAGCGGGAGGTGCTCAGAAGCAGGGAAAGCCGGAGAAAGGAAGGCTAAGCAAAGTTGACAGCTGTAGAGATCAGCGGGGGCGTTCAGGCGCTGGCGGAAGCTGTACGGAAGCTATAGCTGGTTGACTGAAAGTAGATGGTCGGTACTTGAAGGTGGAGCTGAATCCTTTGGAGCGCCTGGAATTCGATTACCAGTTGGGATAGGACTATCGCCTTCGTTAGCGAGGGTGTCGGGTAGGGTGATTGTTGGTAGTAAAATATTCTGCCATCGATTCTGTTATACAGAGCAGGGATGAAGGCGGCGAGCATTTTGGCCGCTCGAAGCTGAAAATTCTGGTACTTAGTCATCATTTCTTACTAATCGGCCACTTCTCGCTATCATTCGTCCTTACCGCGGATCCGCGCACGGCTTGCCATACGCTAATTTAAACTAGTTCAGACGGTACCGGCTGAGGGCTGGGAAACCAGGGGGGTTGTTGTTGTTGTTGTTGTTGTTGTTGTTGTTGTTGTTGTTGTTGTATTTATTAACGTCGGGCGGGTATCCAAAACGCAATGCTTGGACCCTGGGGACCTCCCATGGGGTACGGCGACGTGCTAAGTAGAGGAATTATAAATAACCCCTTAAAAGCAATTTATAGTGCTGTGCGTCGAGTTTTCTCTCGACAACTGTCGAATACGTGTGGCCCTACGGGCGGCCTCGATCCGTATAATAGAAACATCGTGCTCCTTCCTCGTAGACCTAAAAAGGCTCGCGTTCGTAGCCCTTGGAAAGAGGCGGTGTGTTTGCAGAACGCTTTTTCGAAGGCGCAATACCGTGTCCCCTTCTATCGCAAATCCTCCTGTTCTTTTCAGTCGGTATGCTCGTCACGTATAGATCGTAATCGGCGTGATGTTCGAGAAGAAGGAAGGAGGTTTGGAACCGCCGGTAAAAGAAGATCTCTTCGAAGAGACGTCGCATGTCGATGATTCAATTTCAGCTCTCCAAACTCTTTATCTCTCTTTTTACCGCAAGAAAAAAAGAGAAAGACAGCTGAAGGTTCGTAGGAGGCACCTCGTTCAGGTAAAGAGTCGTAGCCCCCCAAAACCAGGGGGGTGAAAGTGGAGATTTAAACTACCGGGCCGCATTCAGGCGGTAATTATTAGTAGGGCTGTACTGTAACAATGGGTTGCTGTTTGGAAAGAAAGGACAATTAAGTATCAGAATCTTCAGCCTCGAGCAGTTAAAATGCTCGCTTCCGTCCTACGGATTCTGCTGGCTCGGTCATATGTTTTCTCGATTCTCTACCTTGCTGGTCTCACCGGGCACGGCTTGCCATGCACTCATTCAAACCAGTCAATACGGTATCCGCACTCGACCACGGAAAATTGGCAGCCGACTCATACGATTACGCTCGCTGAGCCTGTGCCGGCGCCGGCGCCATTTCGCATCCGCTGCTACTGCTGCTGCGGGACCACCGGTACTCTCGAGTGGACTTGGAGGCTGCAGAATGTGGAAGCTGGAAAGTGCGGAAGATGTAGAATGCGATGCAGAATGTAGAGGATGCGGAATGCCGAGGATGTAGAATGCGCTGGGCGCAGACTTAGCGGGCGTGATCGTATGAGTTGATTGCGGGAAGGCAGCCGTTTGCGCTTGCCAACTCGTTATGATCGAGTACGAGTAAGAGGTCTTACGATGACGGCGGATATGAAGAAAGTTGCAGTACAGATAAGGGACATGAAATCTTAGCGTTTTCCTAGATGGAGGGCGGCGTCCGCCGGCTCTTGTTCCTGCTGCTCTCTTGCTGCTGCGGGACGACCCAGACTTTCGAGTGGGCTTGGAGGCTGCAGAATTCGGAAAAGATACAGAATACGAAGAAGATGTAGAATTTGGAGAATATGAAAAATGAGCCGGCGCAAGCTCAGCGAACGCAGTCGTATGACTCGGCCGTTTGCATCTACCTACTCGCCATGGGCGAGTGCAGATATGAGATATGAGGCTGTTGCTCCTGCTCCTGGTACTGCGGAACGACCGGGACTCTCGAGTAGTCCTGGAGGCTATAAAATACAATGCAAAATGCGACGGAGAATACGGAAGATGGAGAATGCGATGCTAAATGCGGCTGTAAAACACGGTTGCAATGCACGATCTCGTAGGTATACACTGCAGCTTTCATATCGATTCATAATCTCCTAGCTGTACTAACCAATAGTAGTTCAAGGCTTCTACGCCGGAAGCATCAACATGCTCGTATCAACCACCTCACCGAATGCAGGATGCGGAGGATGCGGAGGATGCGGAGGATGCAGAAGATGCGGAATGAGCTGACGTGTGAGCGGTCCTTAATGGAACCGAAGTCGTGAGCCATTTCCTTGTCAGCTCGAAAGAAACCAGAGGCATATCTTACACGCAGTATCCTTTGATTCTACTCTTCCGATCCGTAGAGAAGATAGTGATGTCATCCGGGAGGAGCTCCTTCCACCACGACTTAAACACGACAGCAGCTTCCTTCTTGGTCACGCTCCCAGTCGGAAGTGAAGGGAAATCAGCCTTGAGCAAAGAATTTGAAGAAAATGCAAAGTACTGAAAGGATATTAAGATGCAGAGTACTGAGATGATACTAAGAGGATGCAGAGTACTGAAAGGATATTGAGAGGATGCAGAGTACTGAGAGGATACTGAGAGGATATCGAGAGGATGCAGAGTACTGAGAGGATATTGAGAGGATATAGAGTACTGAAAAGATATCGAGAAGATATAAAGTACTGAGAAGATATCGAGAAGATACAGAGTACTGAGAGGATATTGAAAAGATGCAGAGTACTGAGAGGATCTAGGATGCGGACAGGATGTATACGGAGAGCATGCACAAGACGGAGGATGCAGGGCGCACTTTCTTGAAATGACAGGTGTTCGAACTCCTGGAATTTTTTGGTAGGGAAAATTCCGAAAGTTCGCTTAAGGCATATTACTTAAGAACTCTCGAAATTCCCAAAGTTATATGCAAATGACGGAGGATGAAGGGATGCAAAGCGCACTTTCCTGAAATTAT